CATAAATATTTCTGATAAAGGTAGGTTGTGTACTTTTGTCCAACTGAGCAATCTTGCTTTCATAAAATATACCAACATTTTAATGACTGATGATTAACATGCTGTAATACACAGTTTAAATTTAAAAGCTCAAATGCTGTACATGAAAGGTTAAGCTTTATTTGCTCCTCCTGGCGGTTTTAAAAGGTGATGCCGGATACTTTCCGGCATGACGTCAAATGACGCGATTTACCCCGTGATACTACGACACTCCCACCAGAGTATACCGCGAAATACCCCACCCATTTTGAATGGCTGCATCTGTACAGTACAGTCATCTACTGTAAGTTGTTTGGAGCTCATAGATCTATATAACGTTTTTTTTCTTTAAGAAAACCAAACTTTCCCCACAGTAACTACACAATAATTATAATAATTATGAAAAATGTTTTTGATTCATAATATTCTTTTAAGTGTATTTCTCTCTAGTTTAATGCACGTTTTCCTTCAGTGTTTTCATTAATATAATTTTTGTTGTTTTGGTTTCACTTCCTCTGCAAGCAATTATAACATCAGTAATTTTAATGTATTGTTTATACTGCATATATAATATGTACTATATGCTATATAATACTTTTTGCAGTGTAATGCAAACAGCACTACTTCTAGTTTTTAATTTAGCTCCTCCACACAGAGTGATGCATTAGTGGTTCAGTACTATAATTCTCTCCTGCCATGAATAATGGTCTGTGCTCAATATCCGCTAATTTGCAGGTTGTACTTTTAATAAATTGCCTTTTGGGGATAATAAAGCCTAATTCTCTAATACAATAAATAATATGGATTTAATCAAACTTGGACCTTTTGCATAAGAGAGAGAATTCGGCCACTGAGCTGACAATGTGTCACTCTGATTTGTGATTTTCCATTACAACAGTTGTGGTTAAAGCAAGTATGTCAAAATGGTTTCAAAAAAACTAGAGCAAGTGACCAAGGTAAAAAAGTCAGAATTGCAGAAAGTTTATGAATACAGTAGAATACTGTTGTCTAGCTTATTATTATTTTTAGCAACCTCTACCAGCTACAGTATATTTGTAAATTACATTTATATTAATAATTCTGTAATTTATATTGTTAATGATGTTATTAGATGTTAACAGAAGTTATTATAATTTGGTTATTTTTATTTTCAGCTACCAAAATTTCCCTTCAGTTACCTAATTCCATATTAACATTCCATATTAATACGAAATGAAGTAACCATTTCACTAACATTGCACCACAGACCAGATCAGAAGTTTGATCAGTGGGAAGTTTGAACTCATTAAGGACATTTGACCTTTTGGATCTTTAAGTAAAACTTTTTTTGTTTATTCACATATTTCTCGAGAGTTGGACTATTGTTACAAACACGTTTGATAATTAGTATGTGAGACTGACAAAACCAATGAGGGAGATGATCACACATGTGATAATCTATATATATTTTAACTTTGAAGTTAACTCTTCTCCTTATCCCTGAGTGAACAATCAACTTTGTGTGTCACAGCAGATCATTTATAATATATATTCCATTACTTTTTTTTTGTAATGCATGTTTTTGTTTTGATATAAATTAATAGTATATGTTATATTTAGAATCTATGTGTGAGACTATAAAAAAAACTGATTTAAGTCATCAAGTAATCTTACAGTTTGTAATGGTTACAGTAAATTAAAAACCTAACATCACTACACTTGTGAATTATTGAACAAAACATTGTATAACCTTTGTTATACAGTTTGGCTGGAAAATAACTGAAACTAACACAGAAATTCATAACAAAATTGTTTGTTGAGAGGGTCTCTGAATTTGGTACTGTACATACTTTTTTCTACTCAAGCTGAAGTATTTTATAAGGTTTCAACTGGTTTGAACTGGAATGAAAGAATGCTGGACACAAGGATTACTATGTAATTCTATACTGTGTTATATAGAAATGTGTGCTGCAAAACTAAGTAACCAATTGAATTAAAATAAGTTATTGTTAGCAAATAGGAAAGAGGATGCTACATGTGGTCATGGAATGCTGCCAATCTGATAAGCACAGGGAAGCATGACAGAAACAGAAAAATATTTAAGGACTGTTCTAATTTAATAACTTTGAGAAAAATACACTAAGCATCTCTGTGTGTATCGCTCCCATGCGCATAAATAAAAAACGTATATGTTCAATAATTTTAAACCACTTTTTGCAGACATTCCTAAGTAGGCATTAATTTTTTTTACAGTTATGGTCTCACAAATACAAAAATGTCTTTTTTGTGAGTGATATATTATTTTCATCATGATGTGGCATTTTTAAAATGTATTTTAAAGCTTAAATATGGTCTTAAAAACTATTTAACCAAAATAAAAAAGTAACAGTATAACATCCTCATTTCATCTTTCCTTATAATTCTAATATAATCTCACACCTGAAATATTGGAGCATCAGCTCTTTAGACCACTTTAATTCAGTAGCATTTTTAACAGCCTGTTAAATTTGATAATACTAATGGTACTGCAGGTCTCCTATCATCCATGTGTGCTCTCTCAATATATGTTAATAGAAAGTATAAAAAGGTTTGATTTTTATAGATTGATACAGTAGATACTTTATTAATCATGTGAGGGAAATTCCAGCGCAGCAGCAGCCTGGCACAGTCAACACAGCACAGTGTAACGAAATGATACAATAATACAACAATACAATACAGTAAGTACAGTCAGTGAGAAGTGTAGTGAAAAGTAAATAAATTGAGTATACAGAATTGCACACAGTACAGAAGATACAAAACCAACCAGAATGTACAGTACACAAGAAGATGTATTGCACATTATAAATATATTGCACAAATCCCCAGCACATTTTGCACATAAATCAGTTGTAAACAGGAAAAACAGCTATAAACAGAGAATTTATGTTTAGTCCAAAAACAGGTCAATATTGCCCCTGCCCAGACACACAGTGGATGAGTTGTAGAGTCTTATGGCAGAAGGCAAGAAATAAGGCTCCCCGTTGCACCGTGGTTGGATCAGCCTATTGCTGAATGTGCTCTTCATTCTCACAAGCATGTTGTAGAGGGGATGGGAGACGTTGTCCATGATGGTCATTAATTTGGACACCATTCTCCTCTCAGCCAATACCTCGAAGGAGTCCAGATCAAACCCAATGACAGAATTTGCTCTTTTGATGAGCTTGTTCAGCCTGCTAGCATCCCCTGCTCTAATCCCAGAGCCCCAGCACACCACCGCGTAGAAAATGGTGCTCACCACAACCGACTGATAGAACATACGCAGCATCTTACTACACACATTGAAGGAGCTGGGCCTCCTCAAGAAGTAAAGTTGGCTCTGGCCCTTGATGTAAATGGCCTCACTGTTCTTAGTCCATTCCAGCATATCATCGATGTATAGATGTATAGGTACTATGGAAGGCTCCGATATAAATAAAACAGAAAAAAGTAATTTGAATCAGTACAAATATCTAAAATTAAAAATAAACATTTGCTGTCATTTTAATCTCCCTTGCCCTGGAGTAATTAGAGTGACAATTAGTGCAGCAGCTATAATCAAAGAGCTTTTTATTTCTGGTTTGCCGTAGCCAACTCATAATTATTTTCTTTACCTTTAAAATTAATGAATGTCCAATGGCCTTAAAATTAAATCCTCATATTTAAATATTTTTTTCATTATAGTGGTGAAATCATTTTATAGAAAAAGTTAATTAGGCATCAGACCATTTCTAATGGCTATAGTGCATTTCTTAGACTTTCTTGTCTTTCTGGGGTACAGAAGCAAATGCAAATGGATAACAATATCAAAAGAAATACAGATGTTGCATTGTTTGAATTGATAAAAAAGTTTTTTGACATGCATGACATTTATGTAAAATGTGTATGTGATAAGACTGTTATAGAAACGTAATAATTCTAAGCTCAAATTTTTAGTAAATCAATGCTTTGCATAATTTCAATGTCTAAATGATTTTAGATTTACATTTCTGCATTAATGTCATTTTTAATTTTTAGGTGATGCAGCTATTTGTACCCCTGAGAAAATCAGTTGTGTAGATACAGCTCTGGGTAAGCCAATTTATTTCTTTTTTCAGTGTTTAAGATTGATGGAAAACTAATTTTGTTAAAAATGTTGTCAAAATGTTAGAAAAATAAGGTGGCAGCTAAAAATAAGAAACAAGAGGTGAAAATAAAAAGACATTCAATCTTAATCTACAATAAGTGACATATATCTGTAGTTTGGAAGCATCTAGTACACAAAAATGAAGATGCGTATGAGTATCATATTCTGGTTCAGTTATAGTGGATCTGCATGAACTAAAAAGGAACAAGTAAAGGCTAAATCCATTAAGAAAAGTAAAACAGAAGGAAAGTTGCAGCTGTAGAATATTCTTCAGAGAGACAGGAATAACAAAGATATAAATATAATAAATGGACACGGAAAGACTGGTCAAACAGTCTGGTGGTGAGATGTGATAATATGAAATCTGAAAATGAATTGATAGGTTCTGTAAAGAAATTACGCTATCATTTAAAGGGCAAGTTTAAGGATGACCTCAGCTTCTGATATTTTTTTAAGTAGATGCAATGAAAAATGTCAGTGAAATTATGACCTGGGGAGGAGAAATTAGCTCTCTCTTTGTGGAGATTTTTGATGTTCCCTGAAATAGTCAGCCAGTCTTTTTCCTATCTCAACAATATAAATGGCAGAATATTTTTTGCTAAGAACACTGTGAAAAGGTTGCAATATACTGTAAATGTTTCTAGTCCATGATCACCAAAAGGTGGTCAGGGACTGAAGTTCTGATTTTTGGGAGTAGATCATTTCACTCCCAAGGAGAAGGAGTGGAGAAAGAAGAGAGAGAGAGAAGAGATAATTTTATTAGCCATATCAATTTTTTGCATTAGGAATTAGTCTTTTCACATACCCCAGCTTGCTCTCCATGAGACAGACAGGCACACAGGCAGGGAGAGAGAAGCTTGGGGTTAGAGCGCAGGGTCAGCCATCGTACAGTGCCCCTGGAGCAGTTGGGGTTAAGGGCCTTGCTCAGGAGCCCAACAGAGTAGGATTCCTCTTCCGGCTGTGGGATTTGAACCAGCCTCCTTCCAGCCACAGGCACAGATCCTTAGCCACAGAGCCACCGCTCTGCCAATTAGTGTGAGAAAATGTACAAAAAGTCTGGTAGAGAGGAAGAAAGGGCAAAATAGGGGATGCAGAAAGAGATAAGAGACTAAAGATTAGCAGGTAGCTAGGACAACAGTAGTGAGGAGCTAAAACTTCTTCAGGGGTGCTGTATACAGTAAATGGCTGACCCTGTGCTCTGACGCCAAGCTTCTCTCCCTCTCTGTGTGCCTCATTTAGAGCAAGTTGGGGTATGCAAAAAAAGTCCTAATACAAGAAATTGTATATGGCCAATAAATTGATCTCTCTAGCTCTCTAAGGTTTTTTTTAAATTTGGGCACATACTGTAATACAGACCTAGACAAGGGACCCAAATAATGAAGTAGCATGAGAAAAAAATATGGCAAGGCACAAAATTCTGGATGAGTTAAGCTTGGCAGATGGCTTTAGCAGGTAGCGTGGTGAAGAGAGAGATACAGTAGTCTGGGTGGAAGTGTTCCAGGGCCTGAACTGGAATTGATGCAGAGGGTGAAGGGGTACTTCCTACAAATGTTAGTCAAGAAGGAACACACAGAATGTACCAGAGAAGAAATATGCTGGGATTAGGAAAGAGATGGTCAAGCATGCCACTGAGGTTCTTTGAAGAGAAGGAGGAGGATAGTGCTGCAGTGGAGTCAAGAGGAAAAGCGATGGGATGGTCCACAGAGCAGAGGAAGAAAGGGAAAAGAGGTTCTTGTTAGAAGTCTAATCACTATATGTGTTTGATTTTAGCATTCTGGTCACTTACTCATGCCCTTTCTAACTTTCCCTAATGAACAGAAATGATATTAAGAATACGTTAAAAATATATACAGTATACCATAAATAACACTGTATTTAAATGTTGCGCCATAATGTCTCCATAATCCCCACATGAATGCTACACAAGACCTTATAATCACATATTATACTGTAAATGACATATAACCTATGCATAAAAGGTCAAGCCATAAGCAGCAACCTCCAAAAAATTACTAAAATGTATATTGGAAATCAATTTCCCATAGTGAATAATCAATGGATATTTTTATATAAATTTTATAGTATATTTGTTAATATATAATTATACATAATAAGCTATGTGGGGTTGTGAAACATTCTGATTGCTTGCATGAGAAAACCAATCATAATTACTTACAAGTTTACAATATGTAATAGTTTAGTACTGTATATAATAGTTGGGACTCTGTAATTCTGTAGTTTACTCAATACTTATGCTTTATATTTTAGCTGTTTTTCAGAAGAATTCTGATGATACATGTCTCTGTGAAACACCTTGTAACTTGACGCGGTATGGAAAGGAACTTTCGATGGTAAAAATCCCTAGCAAAGGATCTGCACGCTACTTATCAAAAAAATACAACAAAACAGAAGAATACATAAGGTATTGCAATAAAATAGTTTTACAATTATATAGTTTCTAATATACTATACCATGCATAAATAACTTTTCAATAGTATTTACCAGACACTAAAAAAGTGAGTCTTTATTGTACTTTTATATTCGATTTGAATATATTTAATTATAAGAGCAGTAACATGTTATAGATGATAAAATCTGATTAGGAGTCTCAGTAGCTTTAATGTTATGCATTATAGCGTTAGTCCATTCTTCTTGGCAGATCTGCTCAAACTTTCTCAAGTTGGTTGGAGAAAATCATTTAATTCTAAAAGTTTTAAATATTTCCAAAGTTTCTCAATGTGATTCAAGTCAATGCTCTGACAGGGTGACTCAAGGACATTTACTTTCTTATCTTTAAGCCTAGCGTAGATTTGTCCGTGTGTTTTGGGTCATTGTCTTGATGAAAAATGATTTCTGATTTTTCATCCTAGTTTTCTGTTAGGATGAAAACAAAAACAAAAAACAAAAGTTTCCTCTAAGATTTACGTATATTATTCCATCTATGTTCATCTACATGTACAGTACAGTATGTTCTTATTAGTCTTGAAAAGCATCCAAGTCCCTCTTGATAAGAAGCAGAACTATAACATAATTCTACCATCATCATTCCTGATAGTAGAGATGGTGTTGGCTGAATGATGTACAGTACCATGTTTAATTGGCATCAGATTGGCATCATAGCCATGTCAGGACCATATTCCCCAGAATCCTCTGGGGGTAACGAGCTTCTGCTTTCAGTCACTTGACGAGTTGCAGGAAGACAATTAGTCAGTTGACTGTTTAAAGAGCCGGAAGCAGTGGCAGAGTTCACTACAAGCTCCTTTTTTGGAGTGCCTGGTATATTGCTGAACATTTGTACCCATTTTATTCACTGAATACTTTCAAATTTGCAGTTGGCCTTACAATTGCATCCCTAAGTACTTTCCTCCCTGCACAGCTAAAGAGATGGATTGCCTGATAAAGGGGGTGCCTGGATATTATTTCTAAGTACTTAACTTCAACATGTGCAAAAAAAAAGATATTAAGGTCTTTGAATATTGATGCACAACTTTTTTCACTTTTCATATTGTTTATGTAGTGTTTGTTTTAGTTTTGCTTTAAATGTATGGTGTAGGTTGTAAATATACCTAATTCCAACTTCATGCCAATACTACAGGCTTTAAAGCAAAATGTGAAATGTGTTAGTATGTCAAAAGATATCAATACTGGATAAGAAAAGATAAATGGAGGAATCAAAAGATGAACTCTGTTTATTTGGAGCACTGCAGAAAGCTTATGAAGGCTAATGAGAACAGGTACTTTAAAGTTTTATCAACCAATAGTGAAATATAGTCAGATTTAATTGTGTATATGCAGGCAAATAAGTTGTTTAAAAATACACACAATGCCTCATAGTATTCAAGTTAAGCAGGGGACAGCAAGGTGCTGTTAAAATAATACCAGTTAACAGAAAAATGACACCACTGGAAAACTGGCTTGTGGTAGTTAACCATTCATACTGGTGTCCTTTGATCCTTGAGTATCAGCTCTTCCTTTCCTTGAGAAACAGACTTCAGTAAGAATTGGATCTGCTAGTATGGCACATTATTTTTTCCCTACAAATGACGTGCTTGCAATTGTAATTCTGTTTTTTACAAAAAACTACAAGGTCAAATATTTGTTGGATGTACTTAGCTACACAGCAAAACATACAAATATATAGTCCATTGAAATTGTTTTCACTTTCTACCAATAATGCTACTTTGAAAGATTGTACATAAACTTGGTAATGTTGGACACTGTTAGAGGTGAACAAGGTTGAGTTAAAAAAAATACAAACCATCTGGGATAGAGTGATAGCAGCTGGAATACAATACATCGTTGTATGGAAATAACAATCATCAATGTATTGCTCTATTTAAAATGCAATGAAACTCCTATTTAAAATGTTATCCCCCCCAAATATCAAAGGTATATTGGATATAGTCTTGCAAGTGGCTTGACAGTGGGTTTTGAAAAACATTAGGATAATAATTTATAAAACATATAAAAGTTCAAGAGTCTATTCCCCAAGTATGGGATTTTATTTGTTATTGTAGAAAACTGTAATCTATGACCTTTGATTCAAAGATTGGAGTTTGTTCAGTATGATTTGGGTTTTGCTGAACACAGAGCTTGGTATGTAGTTATAGGCATATTCAATGTGTGATTTTTCATGAAGCCAGGTTAGGAAAAGTGTGTATGATTGTGTAGATCGTTGATTCCTTACAAAACATCTTGAAGAGTAGATTTCCATCTTTCATCCTATTAACACTGCCCTCGGTAAGTTTTTATTGTGTACTGATATCCACAAATTAACAATTCAAGAGACTCATTGTTGTTCTGCAATATTGGATAGTTACTGTAATATATTTCACAAACAGGACTGGCATAATATGGTCATCAGGGTCTTTCAGTTGTTCCAGGTGAAATCAAACTGATAAATTACACAACAGTTTCTCCCATAGATTGTGATGCTCATCTTTGCAAGGAATTTGAGAATTGTACACCTTCCAGATAATTCCTTAAATTCTGTTTTATTTCTACTTTAACCTGGTGGACTAAACTTCCATTTATATCACTGCAGTAGTGGAAGAACATAAGTCATTAATTTCTTCTTGGCACTACTGAGATCAAGTGCTGCTTCATCAGTCTTGTAATATCTACACTAGGTTAGACAAAACATCTTAATTTAAGATAGAGATAGATAAGACTTTATTAGATAGTAAAATGTATAATAGACCCATTCCACCTTATCCAACATCTTGTGCAAGTGTGAGTGGTGCCCTTTCTGCATTCCATATTTTCTTTAACAATTTGCTGCCATTTTCCATTATTTGAAGCTTGGGAAATAACCAAGCTCCTTGCTGCTGTTAGTAATGTTTGAAGTACCTGTTATATTCTCTGTTTGTGTTCTTATAGGTGGTCATTAATCACACAGCTTTTTAATTATGAACGAACACAGTGCTCTATAACTCTTACTACACTAACTCTATCACTGCCTAACTAACTGCTCCTCAATCTACTACTACTATACAGTTTATATATACACTATTTACATATTCATGTACTGCATCATTTGTGCAGTACAGCAATCTGTAAGGATCACACTCTGCTAATATCCTTACAGTACCTTTTCTTCCCCCAGGTTATTCTGAATGCTGAAGTCTTGTATGTTTGTTGTGTTGTCATGCACAGAAGTAACTACTTTTGATGTCACATCAAACTGTCTGACATCTTCAGCTAACATCATGAGTATCATCTAATTTTGTCACAAGCATCTTTCATTCTAGTGTGCAATCTAATGATTGGTTAAAATAAGAAAAATGTACCATGCTTGTCCACATATCAGTTGTGATGGATAGGGAGTTGCAACCAATTAAATCCTCATGGTATTTGGATAATACTCCAGTGCAATTAAATGGAAATGTCTTTTAAAAGGTAATTTCATAGCCCAGAGCAAGGTTATCAATCAGTTCTTTAAATTCAGGTTTACCTATACTATACTTTACCTTGGAGCACCCTCATCAAGGTTCAACAATGCATCAACATTGGCTTCAAAAGAACAAGTAAAGTTAATTCCATGCTGAAAAACTGTAAGGAGTATCCAATATTGAGTCTATTCTAAGGCAATGTAAGACATGTCAAGGATACAGGTACAGTACCATCTGCTGAGGGAACTAGAGACGATACAGAAGGCATAGTAAGCCCGTAGAACTGTGGAGAAAGGTGAGAGACTTCTTTTAGATGTAACACAATCAGTTTTTTAGTACCATACTAATTACCCAAACATTAGTCTTCACAAGACATTCTATATTAAAACTTAATAACAGGCCACTTCTTAGCAGTGAAAACATTGGACAAGATCATGGATTTCAATACACTACGTCCTGCTTTCATTATCCCAAATCCAATGGCCAGCTGGAGAAAGGAGTTAAGTCAGAATTCTATTAGAAAAAGGCATTGGAGATTTTGTATCTTACACTTCTCAGCTACTGAGCTTCATGTTTTGAACGTAGAGATTCTCCCGTAAATGTCCTGATGAACCACAAACTGCATACCACGCTACCTGCAATATGAAACCTGTTTTAATTGACTAGTACAGGAGTAACTGAGAACACTGCATGTTAAAGACGCATACTGTAAGTGGAAACAGCTATACAATTAATTGAAAAGTGGTCCAGTGAGATGTCCATAGTAAAGAAAGAATTTCAGAGGCTGAAGTTACATACCTCATATTACATAACATGTAATTTTACAAAATGTTGTTGCATTTCAATAAAAGTATTATCATTTATATTTTTTTAACAGGGACAATTTTCTTGTTTTGGACATTTTCTTTGAAGCCCTTAACTATGAAACTATAGAGCAGAAGAAAGCTTATGATGTGGCAGGATTGTTAGGTAAGTCAATAGCAAATGTGTGTGTGTAAACAGGTTATTTTCATTCTTAATCTCAGTTTTCTAAAATATTTGTCATCTTTTGCTCATTAGGTGACATTGGAGGTCAGATGGGATTGTTTATTGGTGCAAGCATTCTTACAATATTAGAAATACTTGATTACATTTATGAGGTAAGTACACACATGCATCCTAGCTTTCATCAGCTTTCACTTTCAACAAAACTAGATTCATGGTTCTGTTCAGGAGAATGAGTTGGTTGATTGGGGAGTGAGTGAGAACACTTAATTTACTTTCTTATCTGTTATTACTGAACAATAATATAGATGTATTGTTATAAAGTTTAAAATATTAAAAAAAGATGTAAAAAATAAAGAATATTCTCTGAAAAGTCCCACAATCACATATTCACAATTCACAGAGATTTCAAGGCACCTTACATTATGAACATAAAGATTTTACTGTATTAATCTTCTGCGATATTGACAGCACTCTATGGATCGTCATCTATCTTTCTCCACTTAGGATCCTTTACAAAAAAATGTGACAGATAAAGTAAAACAAAAATACAACAATGGAAACACAGAGAACATAGAATAAATTTACAATGAAATGCTTCAAACTCATGTTAACATAATTGTTGTCAATTACAGTTTCTTTTATTTAATTGTTTTATTTTAGAGAACAAAACAAAACCATTTTACATATAAACCACCATTATTCAGCCTTACATCACAGGCAAAAATTGTCTATTCCTGTTTGTTCCCCTAATATTTTACAATTATATAACTTTTAAACAAAACTATATACATTCAAAAGAAAGAAGATGTATACAGTACATTTATGAATATGAAAAGGGAGGAGACCAATTATTTTGTATCTCAACAAAATCCGACCTTAAAGGTTTAATGTACTGAACCCATCTAGACCAATATTTGACAATTTCTTTCATTTGTTATTTTAGTGAAAATGTTATTTTTTCCATTGTATATATTTCCTTTATTAATTCAATCCAATCATTCATTGTTGGTAAATCTGGGAGAAGCCACTTTCTTGTTATAGCTTTCTTCCCTGCTGATATAAGGATTCCAAACAAATATTCGTCAGTTCCTCTCCACTCAAAATCCAGTTTACCAAAATATAAAGCCTCAAATGGAAAGGGTATATTCCTTTCAAATATAGTTTCCAGGGCCTCATGTAACTCCTTCCAGAAAAGCCTTATTTTAGGACAGTTCCAGAATATATGCCAATGATTACCTTGGTTTCCACACTGTCTCCAACATTTAGAGTTTCCTCAGTATGGTGCGCCTTCTGACTGTGAGTAATGAAAAATTGAACACTGTTTTTCCAGCAAAACTCTTTAATTCGTCACAGCCAGCCCTCCCGCAGAGAGGGGGGTTGTACTCGTTAATGTCTTAGCACAAAGCAGAAACTTCTTGTATTTTCAGATGACATACAAGTGGAAAGATTACAGATTTTAATCGTCTTTTTTCTGAACCAGGGAAAATCTGATCATGTTTCTCTATAACAATAATAAAAAACTTTATTTTACATATCACCTTTAAAAGTGGCATCTCAAAACAATACAGTAGATGTAAACCACAGATTACAAAGTAAATACCCAGACAAAAGCAAACGCGTTTTTAATAAGATGCTTTTATTCGTTCATAATCCGACGATCTCAGGAAGACTAATGGGGGTCTGGCTTTTTTTCTGGAAAACCATAACTCTGGTCTTGTCCAGATTGACTGTCAGCGCCCAGGTCTGACAGTGCTGCTCCAGCCTCTGTTCTGTGGGCGACAGCAGGACCAGTTCGTCTGCAAAGAGGAGGAACTAGATTTCTGTAATTAATGCAGATCAGTAAATCAAGGGACAAAACAGTTATTTGACAAAACAATGGGCTTTGACGTGCTAATGCGTTGGTTTAACAGTCCGGGTGTGGCAATGTTTTTTATTATTGTTATAGAGAAACATGATCAGATTTTCCCCGGTTCAGAAAAAAAGATCTGAAGTACTGTACTGTGTACTAGTTTGTCACTCTTCTCATCCCCTCTTTGCTAAATGGCTTTTGAATAGAGTCACATGAAGACAGAGGTGAAACAGCCCTACACAGCCCTGTCGCAGTACACGAATATAATTATATCTTATTAATTTCTTGAGATACGCGATTCTTTTAATACAGTCTTTGCTGTGCTCTAGAGGATCCTTGTGATATTTCAAGCTCTGGTTGAATGATAAGTGTCGCAGTTTAAATCATTTTCGTAGTTAGAAATTATGGAACGCTCTGTTAAAAGCAAGGGAGTTTTTATGTCCCTTGCAGTTTTTTTGCAACATGAATATAATTATATCGTTATTAATTTCTTTAGATATGCGAATCCATATTATATTCCCTTTTAATCAAATTCTAAAAGTATGCATGTTGACCGGTATCACGTTAGTTAAAGACTTAGATGCTTAAAATGTTTAGGGAGAAATGGAATACTGGTGTGTATGTTTTCTTTAAAGTACCGAGACCAGCCATATACTGTATGTTTAAGTTCCAAAATTAATATCATTTAAGGCCTTCACATGCGTTGCAGTATGCTCCTATTCTTTTTACGCTCAGGTACTAAGATTTCTCTTCAGTGGTAAAATTCATATCTATAACGGGCACAGTAAAAACGTTTACTGTAAATCTTTCTATGACAGACCAACGGACCACGAGTGCCCCTGTTGGTCAAACAATCACGTACCGCGGTACCGTGCGTCATCGTGCGTCACAATGCGCGACGCCGTAGCCAATTACCTCCGGTACGTGTGTGTACCGCGCACTTTGAATGGCTGCATCTGTATAAGGGGACCATAATTAATTGTTGCTAATACAGAAATAACTTTTGCCAATTACAGTTTTATATCTGAGAAGAAGGAATAATATTTCTGGAAGGGAATCAAATCCTAATATTTTTTTTTAATCATAACATTAATTTTGGCCATAGGATTCTAAAAACTCTGAATCTAATTTTACACTGTACACAATCAATATAGAGACGGGGTAATGCAATCCTGCTTAAAAGTATATATTCTGTGGATGTACTCAACGAATGTGTCACAACTGTAGTCCCTCCCCCTTAAGGGGGCTCTGGCCCTTTCACTTCAGACATGATTTTGTGCACCTGTCCCCTGTTCCCAGTCCTCCTTAAAAGCCAGGCGCTGACGTTAATCTGGGTTCTGCATCTGATCTCCGTATCATGCGAGTCCGGGACCTGGAAGCGCCTGGTCCCGTTAAGGTTTTATTCTCTGACCCCCCCTCCCCGCCAGCTGCGACCCGGTTCCAGTTTTTATCTAGTTTGTTTTGGATGGATGTTTTGGACTTTTGCTTTCGTTTGGATTCCCCCTTGGATTTTCTCCCAGATTGTTTGCCTCGGCCACACCTTTCCCAAACACCAGCGCACCAAAGGACATGCCCCCTGTTTTGATCCCTGTTTCCTGCATGGCTTTTTCCCCTGGTTTTTTCACTCAACCCCGGATTGTGTCGTCTGCATAGGGTCTGTAAAGAACTGTTCGTTACAGAATGGTCAAATCATTCATTTTAAAATATGATAATTACAACTAAGTATAAAAGTACCTATGCAGATTTGTTTTAAGCAATTAAGGCTTCACTGTATATAAGAATGTAATCTCTTTACAAATTAGCATTTTATTTAATAGTAAACCAATAGTGTATTCTCTTCCATTTCAATTCTTACGGAGTTAAACAAAATTGATCTTTTTATTACAATGTAAAATGTCACCCTCTCATATAATTCAAAATAATACACTTTATATAATCCATTACGGCAGTTAAGAAAGTTAAGAAATCTTAACTTTAATATAATGGTTTTTATAGCACTGTATATTTTAATTTTATATCTCAAAATTATGTTTCATTAGGTTGTGTTATTCTTAATGAAATAATTTTAAAATATTTATTTAAGAATGAAAGAAATGTATATAAATGCTATACAGATATTTCATTATATCTTAACTTGGTGATTGATATTACAGTATATAGTATTTTGCCTGATGAAGATGAAACTGTTAAATCAGTGTTAACCATTCAACACTCAAGAATGAAATTTATACTGGTAATAATTCAAGTAAGTAGCTGCATGAGCGTTTGTAGTCTGCAAAGGAAGAGGTGAAGTTTTATTCCATGATGAAAGGTAAAGCAAAGAGACACAATGTTTCAGCTGTGGAGCCTTCTTCAGTAGTAAGGGACAGAGAAGAACTGGCAGATAAATAAAGGGAGAACAAAAGACGGAGCAATAGGCCATGAAGCAGGTGACAATGAGTGTCCAAGCTCAAGGAGTACAGGAGAAGAGGTGTCAAAATAGAGAGGATTTAGAAGGAGATGAGTCTGTCATTTAGAGATGGGGAAGGTGTGATATAAGTTTCAGGATAATTTTGGTTTTGGATGTCTTTCTGCAATAGAATTTTCAAAACCCCCCTGTGTGAATGCAGATGGACAGATCAGCAAGAGCTTGGCCATTAGAGGTAAAATGGGAAACCATCAGAGATACAAAAGATGCAGTAAATGAGGTTACTGGAAATACATGATGTCATCTGTGTGATCTGGAACGTCCAGAGGGGCCTTGAATGTGTGTTGTATTGTATATACAGTAGATTTGCAGATAAAACAACAGATTCTGTTGCAGTTGAAAGTACCTGTGGTGGATAGTTGCTGTGGGCAGTCAAAGGAGCTGTAAACAGGAAGGTTGCCCATATTAAGTGGTCGGTGATATGAGATGATGGGGCAGTCAGGAAAGAGGGTACTAGTGGAGAGGTCATCCTGTAAAATGGGGAAGTTGTTATTAATGGCCCTGGGAATAGAAAAGGTGTTTGGTTGTTAGGGCAGCACCAATGTAATGCAGTTGTGAGTCTGGGAGTTACTATTGGGTTAGTAATAGAGGTATTTTTGGCTCAAAGAGCCATGTCAATAACATGTGTAGGATATCCTCTGTTAATGACAAAAAAGAGTGCATTTTGAGGGTTTAGTTATGAAGGCCTACTGTATGTCATCACTGAATAGTCTTTGGAACCTGAGGAAATGTGAAAAGGGGAGTTTTAGTATATATGGAATGGAAGGAGCTGTCATTCTGTCATTCATTCACACAGAATACACTGTAGCTATGTAAATTAGTGGGTTTATAAGTTGAAATATGTGTATGGTTAATGGAGAATGTTTTGTCCAGAAACAGAAGAGTAGTGGAATATAATTCTATACTTGAGGGATGGATGAAAGTTGGTAAAATGATGCAGGAAATGCTCTAGTTGGTCATTAGAGCAGGTGGAGGCACCAGCACAGTCATCGGTGTATCATCTGTAGAGGTCAGGGACAATGTTGATATAGAAAGCATTCAGTACCCCCCCCTTCATGGGTGGCTCCTGACGCCCATATAAATAAGTGAGCTGCACAGCACTGGGGCGAGGAAAAACCTAATTTAACTGAAAGGAAACCTCCAGGAGTCCATGGCTGAGAGCTGTCCCCTCCTCCAGGGTATAAACCTTTATGGGGTAGAGGAAGGGGGGGTCAGCTCCGGAGACTTAAAACAAAAAAAAGACAAGTACACAAGCACAAAAACGACCACAGAATTAAGCCTGGGAGAACAGGGTAACAAACCACAAGAAACAGATAGGAACCCAAAGTTCCACAACACAGGGGTCAGGGGGAGCAGAGAGAAGGGGAAGTGAAGAAATCAAAACACAAAGCAAAAAACAAAAGTAAAAACCAAAACCTGGAGAAAAATAGCGCAGACTGGGCAACAGGAATGTTCACATTCTATCACTGATATCGGAGTGGACAACCCGAGGAAAGCCAGACCGTAGTCCGCTCACAGGCACAGATGTCCGGAGTGATATCCAGCAATAATAATAATAATAATAATAATAATAATAATAATAATAATAATAATAATAAAAAACTTTATTTTATAGAGCGCCTTTAAAGGTGGCTTCTCAAAGCACTTTACAGGATGACAATAACAATAAATAAGAAGACTACAACAATAAATAAGAAGATTTCACAAGATAAGACACAATTACAATTACAACAACAACAATAGAGGAGACAGTGGAAGGTGGTCCTAAGAAGAGCAGAGGGGTGAAGAATGGAACCAGTTAAGTAAAGGCTTTTCTGAAGAAGGTTTTGAATCTGGATTTGAAGGAGTTTAGAGAAGGTGACTCTCAGATATCCTTGGGCAAAGAGTTCCAGAGCTTGGGGGCATAGCAAGAGAAGGCCCTGTCGCCCATACAATGTAGACGGGCTTGGGGGACAGTAAGGAGGGCAGAATTTGAAGAGCGGAGGTTGCGAGGTGGGGAATAGGGCGATAAAAGTTCAGACAGGTATTGAGGTGCCAAGCCATGTAAAGCCATGTAAAATAAGAATGGAGGAATGGCAAATAAGGCTCACCAAACTAATGCTGATATCGGCAGAAGACAACCTGAGGAAATCCAGGCAGCAGCCCGCTCACAGACACTGATGTCAGGAAGGTGATATCCAGCAATTAGAATGGGAGAGGAAAAAAGGCTCACCACCCTATTGCTGATATCGGAGTGGACAACTCGAGGAAAGCCAGCCACGAGACACGCTCACAGACATGGATAACCAGAGTGATATCCATCAATGAGGACAGGAGGGCCAGCTCAACATTCAATCACGGATGCTGGCAGGACAACCAGAGGAAAGCCAGGCAGCAGCCTGTTCACAGGCACAGGAGTAAAAAAAAAAGGCATCCCGCGATATGAATAGAAGAGCTGAGAGAAAAAAAAAGCCCAGAGAAAAAAACCCGCAGAAAAACAAAAAGCGCCGCTCGCAGGGTCAGTAGGTGGCTCAGCATTCTGTCACAGATGTCGGAAAGGACAAACCGTGGAGAGGCAGGAGAGCAGAGAAAGACCCAGATGCCTAGGGGCGGAGCGTGGAAAAAGCCCGGGCTCAGCAGTTCAGGAGTCGAATAGAAACCAATGCCCTCAGGCAGCAAACGTGGGGCGACCTGGATGCTAGGCAAGTTTCAGGACATCCGAACGTCAATGCTGAGTGAAGCAGAATAAGTGACCTAGAAATATATAGCCCAAGGGTGAGAGAGACACCGGAAGGAGAGCAAAGCACAGGAAACTAGAGACAGGACAGAGTAGGAGCGCCCTCTGGCTGCCCTCTTATAGTGGCGGGGACACTATACTGTAATGGGCACTGTCTTTTGGATGCGATCTTAAACTGAGGTCCTGACTCTCAGTGGTCATTAAAGATCCCTGGGTATTTCCCCATAAGAGTAAGGAGTTATCCCGGTGTCCAGGCCAAATTTCCTCCCTCGGTCTTTACCGTGGCCTCCAAATTGTTCACATGTATGATTGGCTTGCACTTGTCCTGCGATGGACTGGTGCCCCATCCAGGGTGTACCCTGCCTTGCGCTCATTGCTTGCAGGGTAGGCTCCGTCTTCCCATGACTCCGTATGGTATAAAGTGCTTTGGGAAACGACATGACATATTTCAACCTTCACTTGTTCTACTGTATGTACTTGTAATTGTTCTATATCCTGGTAACATATACTTGTAATGCTAATCTTTCATGCAAGTTGCTTGGATGCCAATTTTCTCTTGCTGACCTCCAGGTGATGAAATCTAAGCTTCACCGGCTTGTAAAACCCCAGAAAGATCCAACCAAGAAGCAGCTGGGTAGTGTAGCAACTTTGGGATTGGAAGACATGAAACCTCAGGTAAGCCCATTAATGATTAAATAATAAAAGGCAATAGGAAACCTCTATTTATGAAATGAAATTCTTAAGGATAAAACTGAACCTGTTTTAGGATTGAAAATTATGGAACAGGTAAAGGTTTACTCCATCCTGAAAGGAAAAGAAAGACAACTTTTCAGCTATAGAGCATTTAGACAAAATGTTGTGTTTCAATTATTTTCCTTTCAGCATGGAATAAAACTTTATGTGTTCTTTTGCAGCCTATGCATGCTGACACAGCTACAGATGCAGCCATTCAAAATGCGCGGTAAAAACCCGCGGTACGGTAACCTACCCACAAGCCACCACGGGGCACCGGAGGGTACCGCAGGGCAAGTGATTGGCTGGCCAAAATGACCGACAGGGGCACTCGTGGTGCATTGGTTGGTAGTGCAAAGATTTAATCATTTAATGTCTTTACTGTGCAC